GTTCATCATTTCTCACTAAGCAATAATAAACAAACATGCATAATTTTACTTCATAAAATTATATAACATTAGATTAACATTCTAATACATTCAACCTCACGTCGACCAAAGTTATGAATCCTGTTTTATGGTAGAAATAGAGGACAATCATACACATACATAATAGTATAATACCATCAACTAAGTGATAATTGACATATAATCATGATTTTATCTCATCAAATAGTAGAACATTGAACTGGCTTTCCAATGCATCTGGTTGTGCCTCATTTCGAGTAACAAAACTCATTTTATAATGAAAACGGGGAAACCCAGCGATTGCTGGATAGGACCAACCGATTGCAGCAACATTCTGGCACAATTTTCACTAAAATAGAAGGGACCAATCGATTGGTCCATGGTGTCAATCAATTGACACCTGCAACTTTTCAAAAAATCACACTTCTAAACTCATTTTCTTCGATTCTTAACCATGTCAAACCATCCCAACTCATAGACTGTCATAAACCCACACCAAATCATGTGATTATGAGTTATGGCTTCAAGAAATAAGACACCCATTATCATAAGTTCATGGAATCAAAATTATAACTTCAAGAATCAACAACAATCAAACATATTTCCATGCTTCCAACATAATAACATAATCTTATAACATCATCTTTGACATGTTCTACTATCTATTCTCATAATCATGGCAATAACACAAAACCCAAGCTTTCTACTCATGAAAATATTCTCTAATGAGGGATTTAACTAGAACTGACCTCAATCCAAGAAGATGATAAAAAATTGAGATGATTTGGTGGCAATGATGATGATTCCATGACTTTCCTCTTCTTCCTCTCCTTCTTTCTCCTTCTTCTCATTTTCTTTCTTTCTTTCTCTTTTTCTTTTCTGTCTTTCTCTTTTATTGGTTTTCTCTTCTCTTCTTCTTATCCACCTTTTTTCTTCTTCTCTTTCTTGTCATCACACAAATATAATATATAATATATAATATAAAGAAAAGAGAGAAAAATATATTAATTAAGATTTGTCTTCTAGTATCAATTGAACAATTATTAATGTTACCAAAATTTTTCTCTTGTACTAATTAATAAAGGTCACTCTCTTTTAATATGGATTAATCTCTTCTACGTCCCCTGATTACTTTATTTGTTCCAACTGACAATATTTAGAGCACTTAAGAGTATATGTGATATCACAGTTTGAATCTTTATGGTGGTAGAACTCTTTCTACAAGACCCTTTTTGACCGAAGGTGAGAAGGGTGGTGTATAATCTGCTTTAGATTCAAAATTTGAAAAGTGTAAATAAAAATGTTGGTTTTGAGCTTAGCATTAAGAACCATTGATTTGAAACACAAAGAATAGAAATCTAAAATTTTATTGACATACATATTTTCTTTCCATCTTAAATTATTTTATATTATTCTAAGTATTGATTTTTTTTTTTAGTTTTATCATAGTTCATCTTATATACTCCCTCCATTACCTTTTATAAACAATCTTTACTTTTTAAATTCATTAAATAATTGATGTATTTAGCCTATATATGGTTCAAACACATCATTTATTCAATAGACCTAAAAAAAATAAAATTTAATTATAAGAGAGAATGGATGGAGTAGTAATTTCTATATTTGGAAAAGTTGATTTCTACATCCTTAAAATTGATTTATATATCTCATAATTAGTTTTAAATTAGCATAATTTCATACAAATATCAATGATTCATGCAACGACAATATCATCATCAATCAACGCATGAATCACAATAAATACATGTTTAAATATACAATCATACAAGACCAACATAAATACAACTAACACACCCATTAAATAAATATAATTATTCAAACATTAAATAAGTAATACTTCGTAAAAGATGATTTAATCGCATAACATACTCCCTCAATTCTCTTTTTATAAGTAAAATTTGATTTTTAAATTTATTAAATAATTTATGTATCTCATATATATATATATATATATATATATATATATATATATATATATATATATATATATATATATATATATATATATATATATATATATATATATATATATATATATATATATATATATATATATATATATATATATATATATATATATATATATATATATATATATATATATATATATATATATATATATATATATATATATATATATGCATCATTTATTTAATGAATCTGAAAGTTAAAATTTGCTTATAAAAGAAAATGGCATGAGTATATCCTAAATATCCATAACAATCTAAACACAATAATTATGGACGTGCAACCTAATGATCATGAGACAATCCTATTTAGTAAATTCACAATCACTCATTTTTCTTGTCAAGTATCCTAGTGACTAGAATTCACCATTTATCACCTTTTAAAGGTGACCGAGTGGGATGTCACGAGTTTGAACTCGCGTCCTTACATTCAATGTTCCTACGCAACTACCAATTGAGATATTTTGACAAGACAATTTAAATCACCTGTTATATACAAGGATTAAATTTCATATTCGTTAATTGATGATTCATTAAACATAGTGTTGAAGTATGCCCTAAAATCTTAAGTGATGAATAGAAAGAAAACATATTTCGAGATGATATAAAATATAAATTAGTCTCGGAATGAACGAAAACAACATAACATAGAGTGAAACTTGCAGTGGAGCCAGCGTGGAGGAAGGTTAGATCCAGAGCCGAAGGCGACAACGACGTAAAAGTGGGTCCAAGTTTGACGGGAAATTCGATTTGTCATAGTTCGGGTCTAGTTTTCTCGTGTGTATTGGGCTTCATTGTTTTAGCTCATGGATATGTTTGTTTATGAGTTATGTTTTGAGTCTGTTATGGATTCATTGAGTTTCAACAATTATAAATATGTGTCTCTTGCATGCTTCCTATCACAACCTTCAAAATTTTACAGCTGAAGATTGAGAGAAAAGTTTGTGAATCCTAGTGGTAATCTTAGAAAGGAAAAGTAAATTCCTAAGAATTTTTTTAGAAATTGAGAAACCCTTAGAGATACCTAAGGGGGATTGAGAAACGCTTTTAAACACCTTGGCCTCGTGTGATTCATACATAGAGAGAGTTGGGCTGAGTGACTATTTTCTTATAACTCATCTGTAATTTTGTGTAACAACTCTTGGAAGTATAATGAATCGGAGAGTTGCGTTCCCCTTGAGTAAATCCTTTGATCGAACCGAGTAAACAAACTATTGTGTTTATTGTCTTTACTTTGTCTTAACTACATGACATGTATAATTAAAAACAATAAAAATAATTAACATCACATAATTAGTCAAATTTAAGTTTCGCCATTCTCATGTCCAAAAACATTTTCAAATACACCCGATTATATATACTTGAAGTTGCCGATGAAATTGTTTTTCATGAAGACTTGGTATTATTTGTAGTTTGGTTGCAAGATTAAAACGAGGATATCATTAAATGTTTCAGATGTTGAGATGGTTTTATCCATATTATCATAAAAGTAATCAGAATCACCTCCTTATGTGTGTCGTTCATCTTCAATAATCATGTTGTGTAGTATGATGCATGCATATATGGTATGCATGAGGGTTTCCATGTGCCCCACACACATTGGACCACATATAATTGCAAATCGAGATCGAAGCACCATGAATGCCCGCTCCATATCCTTTATAGTTGATTCTCAATGATAGGCATTTTTTTTTCTCTTTTCTCCTTGTGACATTGAAATAGTCTTGACAAATGTAGTTCAATCAAGATATATACCATCCTCTAAATAATACTCTATACTATTTAGAGTCTATTGATTGTATATTACATAGTGGGGCATGTCTTTTTAAAATATCGCTAAACATGTTGAAATTGATTCAGTACGCTAATGTCCTTGTTTGGACATGTAATACCAAAATATGCATGTCAATTTCACAAATCTTGTGATGCCACTGCTTTAAGCATGATTGTGGGTTTTCCATGATCACCTTGACAAAATTGTCTTTTTTATGGAGTGAGACAATTTTTCATTTCAAGGGCATACAATCAATGAAATCCAACATACCTAAAAAGACCATGTGATTCTCCATTTGTATGTTTAATATTAGTGTTGTTAGGCTTTCTTAGATACTGAACTCCAAATACCTCATTCACATCCCTTATGAATATGTCTAAGCACTCAATTTTACCACTTTCACTAACTGTAGTGCCATCGACATTTGAATAGGGTGTGTAGCTTTTTTCGCGACTGACCACGATACTGGTTATAATTAGCAGTGATTCTTAACCAAAAACTGTCAGTTTTTTTATCAACTCCCACGATTGAATCCTTTGAAACAATTAGCCAGGTTTCATATGAAGTGTGTGTCATTGTCCCTTGTGAATAACTCTCGAGGTTTTTTTAAACAAAATATCTTTCTTATTCTTCAACTGCAATATTTTCAATACCAACTAGTTGAAAATAGGGGAACATGACGTTCAAACATAAACCTAATTTGTGTTTCGAGTTCATGGAGAAAGAACTCCACCCCCACGAGTATTAATTTGTGGTCTATAAAACATATTTGAATTGTTTGATGATAGAAAAATACAACGAAGTTTGTCGACAGTGATAAAAATTGAAAATTTTAAAGATTAGAATTTGAGATAAAACATACACTATTTTCAATGAAATTACTCTAATGGTTCAAACAACACAACCCAATTACTCTAATGGTTCAAACAACACAACCCAATTGAGTAATATTGAATATTGTTGAGTCTAATAACATAACAAAAATCAATTTTTAAATTCATTTTTTAAATCAAATAAAATAAAATAATTCCCATAAATCAATTTCTTCACCATGAAAATTGATTTTTTGATCACATAACCGATTAACAGTTTCCAACATGTAGTAATTTGTAACTATCAAATTCCTAGGAAGCTCCGTAACTAAACTGGGCCACCACAACAGATTCGGCCCACGAAGATTATAACCTTAACATAACCCGTTTCTTCTCTTCTCTGCATCAATGGCGACTTCACCTTGCTTCTTCTCCTTCCACACGCCTTCCACTACGAGACGAAACTCTCTCATTATAGTCTCTTCAAAAAATGCTCATAGAAAAAACCATCTGCGACCTAAAATTCTCAAAATCCTAAACAAACCCTCTCTACCTATCCCTTCTATTCTTCCACAACCACCGACACCACAGCCCATTCTCTCTCCTCCTCAAGAATATGAACTCAGTGTCGATGTTCCCGCCGATGAAATTTACGGCGAAGATGTCGCCGCCGCCGTTGAAGAGACGGTTGAATTGGAAGAATTACGCGTGTCTGTGGATTCAGCCAAAGACAGTGGTGTTTCTGGCTACTTATCTGGTAAGAATATCTTCAAGTACGGTGGTATGTATTTGATTGGGGCTTTTGTGTTTCAAACGGTTATTTACTTTTGGAAATTGGGATATCAGCGTTCTAAATTGACTGATTTTGAGGTAACTGAAAAGGAAAAGAGGAATGGGAAAGTTGTGGAGGATCAAAATGTGGAAAAGAAAATAGAGGAAATTAAGTTAATGGCTAGAAAAGCTAGGAGAATTGAGTTAGAGAAGAAAGGGAAAGGGAAAGAGGAAGAGGATGAGGATGGGGATAGTGAAATTGAGGATGAAAGTGGTGTTTCAAGTGGTAGACTTGGTATTGAGAAAGAGGTTGTTGAACGCTTATTGAAGCTGAAGAATAAGATAAATAGTAACAAGGATAGTTCAACGGCATTGCGATTGAATGGTAGTGGAAATTCTGTTAGGGGTGGTGGTATGAATGTGGATAAGGCGAAAGAGAGGTTTGTCTTTAAGAAAAAATCTAAATTGAAAAGCCCTTCAGCTAAGGATGTGAAAACTCCCAAAGGTTTTTCAGGGACACGAGATCATAGAGTATCGAGTGTAAAACCTCAAGATGATGGAAGTCAGGCCATTGATCACGCGGGAGTGGTAGATGGAGATAAGCAAGTGAATCAACAAGATGTTATGCACAAAAATGCTTTCGGTGTTCCATTGGAAGAAAGAGGGAAATCTGTCAAAGACAAGTCCAGGGAAATTGAAAATGATGGGAAGAATGTGGAAGAAAAGATGGAAACACCAAATATTAAAAGCCCTTCAACTAAGGCTGCAAAAACTCCCAAGGGATTTTCAAGGACACAAGGTGGTAGAGTATCGAGTGTAAAACCTCAGGATTATGGAGGCCGGGCTATTGATCATGCAGAAAAATTAGATGGGGATAAGCGACTGAATCAACAAAATGTGACACACAAAAATGCTTCGGGTACTCCATTGGGAGAAAAAGGAAAATCTGTTGATGACAGGTCCAGGGAAATTGAAAATGATGGGAAGAATGTGGAAGAAAAGAAGGAAATGCCCAATATGAAAACAAAGGATGGGTTTAAGGCCAAAAGTATAAACAATGGTAATATGTTCAATGCATAACTTCTAAATGGGTTTTCTTGTTATTTATACAGTACTTAATTAAACATTTCCAAATGAAATAAAAAGAGCACTGAAATTACATGTGTTTTTAGTTGATTAGTAAATTGTTAACATAGGATTGCTTGGGAGAAATTTAGCACAAATTGAGTTTTTTTTACATGTTTAGGTGGTTTCCCGAAGAATAGTGTTGAGATGTCATCACCTGAAGTAAGAGAATTGAGGACACAAAACTCCCAGGGTTTTGTAAAGGATAATGTGCATCGTATAAATGGCAGTTCAGGACATGGATTTGCTATGAAAAATTCAGCACATAAACAACCAAATACTAGGACCGATATGTGGTGGCTGAAACTACGTTATGTTCTAGTACGTGCAAGTGAATTTTGTTTGCTTACTTATTTTTCAGTACTAACCAATAATACTACACCGTTGTTTATCCCTTCTTAAAGCTGTGCGACCCTTTGAAATTTTTTAGTTGTATCAAGTGTATAAGTTCAATCCTTAAAAACTCCAACAAAGTCAAATATCCTAGGTTTGTTGGACCTTTTCTTGAAGTACATACGAGAGTTCTTCTGGTTGCATTGGATTCATGGGAAATAGACATATGTTTGGTTAATTTATCGATAGTTAATATATGCACCTCTCTGTGTATCCATTTGCATCTGACCATGAGTCATATCTCTTTGTGAAGGTAATTCTCATGCAAAGAGACTCCAACACAGAAAGTCCCAAAGCTCTCTATCGCTTAAACTTTACCTCTAAGCAACGGGAGCAGGGTAATGATTTCTATACTGTTGCTTTTGAGGATCGAGCAGATGCTAACAACTTCTGTTTTATACTGGAATCCTTTTTTGAAGATTTGGGCGACGGTTTTAGTGCCAATGTATTTCCCATGTCAATACAAGTAAGAATATAAGTTTACACATCAAATAAAAACATCTATGCACTGACATATCAACTAAAAATGTCTCACTGTTCTTGTCGAGCTCTGCACATGTAAATTGAAATTGATAGTTTTGTTTAGATTTTTTTTAGTTAGCTGTTGTGTGTATAATTTTGTGTTTGGTTGATATATGACTTGTCTAAAGGGGGACATGATGTTTTGTAGGAACTGAATGAAGAAATAATATCACCAGGTGAGAAAGTAGTAGTTGTAAAAAAGAGGCAGCTTCAACTCTATGCAGGGCAACTACTTACTGATGTTGAGATGGCATTGTGCTCAATAATAGAACAAGATCAAAATGTACCATAATTGGTGACATTGTGATGAATGAAAATTTATCAATTCCCAGAAAGAATGTCCATAGTGAATAAACCGCCATTCCAACCAGTGGACAAGTAAAACACAGTGCATCACTTCCATCAAAATCAAATGTTCGAGTTGATGGAGCCAAACAGCTGAGCAGAGGTGAAGAGTGCTTGTCACTACTACTATTGACTGATCTTGTGGTAGGTTTCTATCTGTAAGTTTTTCCTTGTTCTGAAAGTTATATGTTCCATGTAAGCTGCAACATGTCTCACCAAGAGACATGTCAACGCCAGAGTCATTAGGGACATACATGATCTTATAGAAGTTCTAGGGGATTATTTGGACTAGGTAATTTGTGGGGGAAATTTGCAGTTTTTCGCACTCTGCAATGAAAATTTTGAATATCAGTTCAAATTACAAAAATGCAAAAAGATTTCTTTTTCAGAGTTTAGCACAAAGTTCTGTAGTCAACGCACTTGTGCAAAACGAAGTGTTTGCGATTCATCTTAACTTTGGTTTCTATATCTGTACACTTGTGGAATCTTCCTATCTATCTTCACAAATGCAGCTACAAGATTTGTAAGGTTGACGCCTACTTTTTTAGAAATTGTTTAGAGACAACATTTCTCCATAGTATTATATAGCTTTTATCTACAACCTCAAGGCCCCAATATGCAAACAAGGGCACGGGACATCAAAGTGAAAATAAGTTACATTGACTAAGCTTTCTGAAGTATAAGTGTGTTTGTTTGTCCAATATAAATCTTTATTGTAAGGTTTGAAAGGAACTTTTAAAAGTTCAAATTAATTTTTTTTTATTAAGAGAAAAATAAAAACAAGAAGAAATGACTAAGCTATCCTCGCAGCCTAAACACCTCAAAGGTATCTCCAAGCAAGATAATATCTAATCGAGGTGGAGGAGCAATCCACATCTTCAAACCAATTGGCACATTCGTTTCCTAATGGTTAAAAGAGACCACTTATGAAAGAGAAGCTGAGAGTGAAGTTTTATGGGGTGAAAGTCAAGGTAGAAGCGAGAGTGAAGTTTTATGGGATGAAAGTAGGGGTAGAAATAGGTTAGGTTAGACTTTAGAAGGTTTGAATCTGGCTTATGATAAATTTACATGAACCTGAGTTTTATAGGGTTTTTTTTGTTCGGCCTGACTTTTTTAAAAGTCTGGTCTGACTTGAAAGCGTATTTAAAAGTTTGTTTTTTATAAAGGTATTCAATTAATTCGTATTACTTAAAAAATCTTATATGTCGGTCTATATATGCATATATAGGCCTACTTATTTATCATTTTTTAAAATATATATGCAAATGTAAGCCAACCTATTTAGTATTTTTTCTAATATATATATATATATATATATATATATATATATATATATATATATATATATATATATATATATATATATGCATATATAGGTCAACATATTTAGACTATTTTTAATATATATGAAAATATAAATTGACCTATAAAACTTCATATACTTTTTTAATAAATTAAACCTAACCTATTTAATTAAATAAACCTTTTAGAAAACTTAAGTCTGACTTTTTTATTAAATAGGTCACCTGATCTGGTCTTAAATGGGCTAACATGACTAATCACATGATGCTTATTTGTTGTGCGAAGAAGGGTTTGGACCATGGAAGAGTGATATGATAAGATAAAAGAATTTTTTATTGCACACTAGAGGTTTTTAATGCACCATGTGAATTTTCAGATATGCTCTTCGGTTCTGGGGATATATCTCTGGACGCATATTTTGCATACTCAACCAATGCCATTTTGAGCTACGCCCTTTCTTTTGATTTAATTTATTCTAGAGATGCATCTCCGGAATAATTTCGTAGTTACATCTCTGGACCAGAAACAGGTCCAAAATGAAATTGACATTCATAATATAAATGATCATTACAATGATGATTTCAACAGAAAATTTAATATTACATTTCAATATTCCAGTGGACGCCTGCACATCTTTAGAATATCTTCGACCTGTTTTTGTAGCGTCGCTTCTAACTCGAGCGTAACTTTCTCTTCAAAACCGAAAAACGTATTCTGCATAGCCCTAACATTTATTTGCGTCTTGAGCTCAAACTTGGTGAACTGAATTTTCCTTCGATGTCAATCAAACGTGAATGGCACCTGAGCTTTACAATCTTTCAATTGTCTCTGTAAGGTAGGAGATGATGAATTTTGTCTTTGATATCTTCGAGGGAGGTGAAGTCGGTGAGCTTGAACGTTCGCCCGAGTGTAGAGCTGGAGAGGGACACATTTGCGACATACTAATAAAATTTTATTTGTGACATTTGAGATATTGAGTTTATGTGAAGTATAACATTAGAGCACCTAAATTTATATAAGACAATGATCAATTTGGACCACTCATTAACTAGTACATTGATTCCGAAGATATATCTCCACAAACGCACCATATTATCTTGTTCCGGAGATGCATCTCCTGAACTTCTCCTGAACAAGTATCACACCAGAACACTAACTCAGAACCATTTTTTCCAGTGAACAAAAACACACATGTTGTTATGAGATAGATTAAAAATGCATAAAGAAAAAATATGAACAAAAGGTGAATATATAACACTTCATTTATATAGAGACACAATTACATACAATTATTTTTCCGATTAAATAAGAAATTAAAACGAATCGAAACATGTGTCGCCGGCTAAATTTATAAGTGGCACCCCTTTGGACTTTTGTACATTCGATTCTTTTTCAATATTGTTTAATCTCTCGAATTCTTGCATCCTTTTTATAAAATAATCCGGCCACATCTCGACTTTTACGGTTGAATGAGTCGTCTACTCCAGTGATGTAAGTGGTATAGGGCATCCCGACTTCAAGTAAACTTGAACAAATGACTTGATTTTGAAAGCCATCCAATACACGTGATTCGATCATTTAGACTTTGGGGTGAGGTGGTGCGCAATGGGAAAAAGGTTTTCGAAAAACCGTAGCATGTCATGTCAACACACACTCTATCATATGCAAATGCTATTAGGTAAACCATATCAGGGAAGCGCATCCATTTTGCCTCCGATGCCAGACCGCTCAAGCAAGGAACATGAGACTCATACACTGCATCAAAATTTTCTTTCTTCAGTACAACCGTACACGTCTTTAACTCTTGGATAAGTTGTTGGCGCACAAGTGTATGCCTATCTTCTTCTTTACCGAGTAAAACCAAAACGACTTGGTAACCGCAATTACCGCCCCCACAACATTGACGATTCACTCGATATATTTGTGCATGAAAATTGACATCTCGTTGATGAATGAAATCTTCGGTGGAGGCAGCGTAGGAGGTGGTTGCTAATGCAGACTCCTTTCAAAACACTTTTTTTGAGATTTTGGAGTCGCTGAGTCGGGAAAAACTTTGTCAACGTGTTCAAAATATGAGAGACATCGTTTAGTCGAGTTGTCAGTAAGCTTCATTTTCTTCGGAGCACCTTTTGTTTTTACCGATTGAGAAGGTGGTTTCATGTCGGTGGTTTCAGGATAGGCAATCTTTCTCAATTGTTCTTTGATGTGGAGTTTCATGTTGTCATCGGTCTTCGAAAATCTCTCTTGCATCACTTTCCATTCGGTCAAAATAGAGACATTCGATTTCTCGTCATTCATGTATCCATCATCATCAAACCTAAGTCTCTTTCAATGATAGCAAACCTCATCCATTCTTATTGGTTCATCAAGTTTCACCTTTTTTAGCAATAGTACAAGCAAATGGGAGACCTTATGTTTTCACAATAATGCATCCATACTTTGCGCTATTAGAGCCTACATTATCAGCTCGTTTAGCCTCGTGAAAAATATTATTCAAACCCGCATGAGAAATGTTAACAACCAGCTGAGAATATATAGTGTTGTCTTTAAATCCGTGTTCCATATCTATGATACCCCGAGCAAATGTTGTTTGTATCTCATTATTCTGGTTTTGAACCATGAGGTTCACGGAGTCTCAGTCTCTACACAAATTCCCTTTACTATTTCCCTACCAATTTTTTAAAGTAGCATGAGCCAACTCAATTCTGTTAGTAGTTGTATTTCTAAGGTGTCTAACATTATTAGTCCACAAATAAACTATCTTCTCCTTCACTTGATCAAGAATTATGCTTTCAACAGATTTCAACAAATCTGGATACTTTTCACGCATTTTCCGGAAATGAATAACGAAATCAGTATATAGCTCTTTTGTGGAAGAATTTATTATACGATTCCATGCATCCATAATTTTTTTCACAATCACGCCCGGCTTCACCAATTTTCCACATTCTTTGTTATGTGATACGTACAAAGTAATGCATAAGAAGAAGGAAATAACTTTGCAACTGAATTCATCAATGTGGTATCACGGTCGGTAACAATCACTTTAGGCATCTCACTTTGGACCTTCAAAAGTGACTGACACACCTCTAATGCCCAAGTAAAACTGTCCTCTTTTTCATACTCAAGAAATGCAAAACCAACAGAATATGTCTTTTCAGTTGAGGTAACACCAACCATCTAAAATTATGGAAGTCTATACTTGTTGGTCTTGTAGGTTGAATCAAGTATCAGCACTGTAGGAAACGTGTTGAACATCTTTATAGAATCAGGATGAGTCCAAAAAATATCTCTAACCGTAACTCCATCACCGTATGTTCGATACCTGGACACGTAACTGTTATCATCCAACAGTTCTAAGAGTTGTTGCATCTCAGTTCTATCCCCCTAAGCGCCTTGTTAGTGAGGTACCGAATATTATACACTTGCTTGATATTTGATATATTATCGGGTCATTTCCATTTCAATGTTGCAAGTATATTTTTCAGTTGAACAAAATTTAAGGTCATGTCACTAATACATTCCTTCTCTTCCGGCTTGAGCCGACATACACTAGGACGACCGACTAATTTTAAACACAAATCATGGTTATGCAAACCACGTATCACGTTAAGTCTCCAATTTTTGTTTGTCAACATGTAACCA